GAAATGTCTAAACTCTAAGAGAAGTGTATTCACATCTAAGCTTCTGGTTCGTTAGTTAAATCGATTTCGATGTTCACGCCTATAATGGCTTCGGGCAATAGAGAATCAAGTGAATGTTTGTCTGAATTCTTTCATACACAATATGATATTTATTCATTTAAATATAAAAGATAAATAATTCTGGTGACGTACATACATATATACTATGTTCGTATGCATATGTATGTAAACATATCTTCTTTGTCGTCTAAGCAACTCGGTAGGTACTAAGCGTTTACGTTTTACCTATGCATGTACAAACATACCTACGTATATCTCAACCATTCGAACGTTAGTTTAAACATTTCCATGTTCACGCCCACGACTTCAGCAGCCACAGGCAATAGGAATATTTGAAAACAAAACAGTGACAGCTGAGTGGAGAACACATTTTAAAATAAACAAAATGCCATTGCTTTTTAAATTGGCCGTATTATAGTCAGTTGGTACACCCACTTGTTATGTATTGCTTCTATTTATTGTTTCCTTACTGCGGCAATATGCAGTACATACTAGAGACATACTCTCGGGTTCGTCCATTTTTACCTTTTGTGTTTATAATCCAAAAAAATGTTTATTATCAGAATTACTTGAAACTTGGTATATGTGCTCTTCAACAAAAATAAATAAATAAGTGGTTTAGCATTTTTCAAAATTTATCCTATAAGGGGGTAAAATAGGGAATGAAAGTTTGTATGAAACTACCTTTTTAGAGATTTTTTTGTAGTTTTAGCGCGAGCAAAGCCGCGGGTTCTGCTAGTATTATATACAAGCTACGCCACCTGTCGGCATTTTTTTAGTATGTATTACTCCAGGTCATAGTTTAATAATATACTTTTCATTCAAATCCGTCCAGCCGTTTCAGCGTGTAGTAATGACAAACATACACACAAATGGAGTATACATAGACATACAAACGTTCGCATTTACATTTATGTATATATAGTAGTGTGAATAAATATATATTCCAGTACAAAGATATATTTAGATCTTTTGACTGTGAAGGAAGCAGATGCTCTAAGCGATGCATTAAACATTGATATAAAGCCGTGGTCAGCACCAGGTGCTATAAAATCAAAGGATACCAATGGACTGCATTCCCTGAATTGTTAGATTATGTGGGTGGGAATAAGAATATAATATATTACTAACGAGGTATTTTTTATGTGAACACGTTTCCTGCGATTTTGCTTGTAATGAATGTAAATGAATGGATGGCCTCTTAAAGAAATCTATATCAATACTGATAAAAAAATATGGAATCCATCTGTACTTTTTACCCCGTACTATACTCATATTATAGTTATATTGACAATATTTAAACTACTTACTATGGTAGAAAATATTTTTTGTGTATCGTCACTCGCTGATATCTGGAAATGTCTAAGCTTATTTAATCTGAACTTTTGCTGATAGGTAACAGGTTTAGTTAAAAAGAACATAGGCTTCTACGTTTAGAGAATTATACCTGTATGACATTTTTGTTATAAAATTTAGTAAGATTTGAAGTGAATACATTACATCAACTTTATAACTAGCCTCAATATGTACAGACGGACATCTTTTACAACACCTATCACAGTGTTTCCGTTTCAATCGATTTGTTCATTACAAAATTACCAGACAAGATTTTAAGATAAATTTACTTTTAAGTTATATAGTAATAAAAACATCGAAATCAATTTCGCTGCATAGATTTAGGTACTTTTTATTACCCGTGTACACATAGTACTTATTTAGTCACCAAAAACCTATTTTTCATATTATAAATACGAGTTTATTTGTATTATTTCTTCAATAACGCGGCTTATTCACATTTCTATAACACAATTGTTCTTCAATATCTCTTTTTGTCATTTGCATGGGTTCATGTGTGGTATCAATCATACCTCTTATATATTTATTTTAACTGTCTCAATACTAATTTGTAGATTTTGCCCGCAACTCCGCTCGCACGGTACGCGGGGCAGGGATAGAAAGTACCCTATGTTCGTCCTCATGGTTCACGTTTCCGAACTCGATGGTTCTTGCCAAATTTCATCAAAATCTGATCAGCACTTTAAGTGTCAAAAAGAACCAAACAGATAAACAGACATACTTCAACATTGATGATATTAACATAATTGTACTTATATAGAAAAAATGCGTTTATTATAAATTATAATCATTCCTTACTCCTCAAGTGATAAATAACATCGCTACGGTTGTTTCAAATTAAACTTTCGAGTTGAATGTTTTTTTTTTATTTAATTGGTCAAATCCAATTTCCAGTTTGAATTTGTTATACTAAAAGAATATTCAACTCTGCTACCAAAGTCGTCTATCTAAACATTATACATATATGTATAGGTATCGGGCGCGCCCGACTGACGGAGCTATCTATAGGTTGTTATCGGCCCGTTTATTGCTGCGGCTTATGTCATAAATCCTTCTTCCTCCGCGATCAATAAATACGGATCGAGACAATGCTTTAAATATGTATGCAATTGTAAATAAGTCGAGGCTAGTCATAGCTTGGTTATCTGGAATTTTTTCATACAAATTAGTAAGGGATTGTTGGAACGAATGGTCATTAAGTACGCATACACATAATTAAATACAATCAGAGTTTTTATATGGTAATAACAATGGTAGGTCTGATAACGAAATCGTATGAAGTGAAAACTGAAAGCCGATTTATACTCAAGTATTTGCGAAAAAAGTAAAATTTACGAAACTGTATTAACAGACAAATCAGTTCATATAAATAAGAAAAATACAAACAAGTACATACTTAATTTAAAAAAAATTACAGTTAAAACCGTGAGTTAGGCCATTTTTGCGCCGACAGCCTTATTAGTATGGCGCCTTTGCTATCTTTATTTTTTCTTATCTTTAGATATAAACTCTTTTAATGCGAATTATTACGATTACAATATTAGGAGATGCGGCGTCACAGATATGTACATTATCATCTTGAAAGAAAAACGTAAGACGTATCCACTATCCATATCTATCAACTATTAATTAGGTATATTTGCTACATTAAATGCTAGCGACAGAGACCCACCCATGATTTGCCCCGAATTAATTGATATTAATTAAGAACCACGGCGATAGACAAAAATGGCAAATCAATTTCCTAATTTGATTTTCCAATCATCACATAAAACTTTATTTTTAATCTAATAGATTAAAAAAGTCTTAAAAAAGTGAAAGTTATTAAGATCAAAACAGTATAGAAAATTTACTAATTCAGATACGTCGATCAAAAGTAGCCTATTATCATAATCCGTAATATGAGCTTCGTTCCAAATTTTATCATCTCACTGCGTGAAAAAGTAACAAAAACTCTCACTGAAACTTTATCGTTATAATGCGAATGCGATACGCGAGTGTTGAAGTAAAATTTCGTATCTAACATCTGACATTGCTCCGATATCAGTTTTATCTGAGATGATGCTATAGATAGATGACGCTATCAGGCGCCATATATGTATGTACGTACTTAGCTTCGTCGGGGCGAAATATGTATATAGTAGCGGTGCGAATTTATGACTATGACGTCCTTTATATAATCCCCATTTTCACTCCTTTAAGAGATTATTTCCGGGATAAAAAGTAGCCTATGTCTTTCCTAGGGTCTCAAACTATCTTCTAACCAAATATCATTTAAATCGGTTCAGTAGGTCCAGAGATTACCCCCTACAAGTTCACAAACTCACAAACTTTACCTCTTTATAATATCAGTATAGACGGTGAGGGCACCGCCAGATTTTAGTTGGTATTACAGTTCTTTTCAGTAAGTCTCGCCATAAGCACTGTTGGCATGGTACTGGGGTGGTATGCGCAAAAGCAATTCCCAGCAAAAAAAATTATAGGGTCCTATATATTTTTGTTTTCACCAATACACGTTGTTTACGTCGCTGTTGTTATCTATATAAGTTTTCTTTGTTTTCTGCCACTGTCATAAAATGTTTAGTGCTTTCTGGAAATGGCAATTGCATGTTTGTAGCACTCACTGCTATTTTAATGACTTAAACATAACATGGGAGTTGAGTGTAAAATTTCAATATTTTGTAAGAGCTGTTCTCTCGATCTCTCTTCAAGGTAATGTTTCTATTAACGCTATATTTACTTATAAAACACACACTACAATTTCCACTTAACCGTCACTTCCGAATATCGTAATCGTTTAGTCGAATCAAACGTACCCAACATAGAATTAGAACAAGTTACAGTACAGTACGACCTTTATTGTGCTCGATGAATTAAGTATTAAACAGTTACACACGAATAATGTATATTAATATAGATCAAAGTCAACGAGATCGCGATCTGCGCGACTTAAACATAAAAATATGTTCTAAAATGGACTGATCGTTAAATAAAAATACATAATTAGTCATTTTTTGAGACGATTCTGTCTAATTGATATGCTATTAAAAAACTAATTTATGATTACGAAAAATTCAAGTTATTTGATTATATTATGATGAAGATTAGATGTAGATTAGAATATTAATTAAACCAAAAAAAAATGATAAGTACGTAACTACATACTTCTAAAATTCTTAAATAAAAATATATTTTTAGAATGCCAACAACTCACATAGCTCGTTTAGAAAACGTAGCCCACGCAGTGCAAAAATCAAAATTATAACTTCGTTTATTTTATAATATTATTAATGAACTAGGGACTCACCCTCACTTCGTTCGGGTTCGTCTCTAGGTTGATACCCTATAGAAATTTCAATCTCCATTTTCACTCCCATGATCCCTCAAGGGCGTGAAAATATATCCGCGAAATAATCCGAAAAGATAGTTATATTTAAAATTTCAAATATCCGGGTAAGTCTAAGAAAGTATAACCTACTTCATAGTAGTTACATAAGTAAAAAATCTCATCTCCAGTATGTCCAAGAATTGAGAAATAGATTAATTATTAATTTAGAACCGTCAGATCAAAGGTTGCAACTTACCAATAAAGGGTTTCCCATCGAGCCGTTTCATCCAATAGAACCTTTGGCTATGCGGTTTGTTCTCTCTGTCGTACTGCTCCCACTGCTGCCGGAGGAAGGTGTAGCACACGCAGCAGCACCGGACGGTGCCGTCCTCATCACCTTCGGACCGGTAGCCGTTGGGAGGCGCGTGGGCACCGAGGAAAGGGAAGTATGGCTCGGAGCTCTGTGGAAATGTTGCGATAGTGGTTTAATGTTGAATTTTTGGAGGTATCTAATCACAAAATCTGACTAAATTACATTTTTAAGAGTGTATGTTTTTTACTTCATTGGGCTAAAATGGCTGGACGTGTTTGCATGTTTAGTAAACAAATAGGTTATGACCTGGAGTAGCACATAGGCTATGTTAGGTAACTAGAGATGCACCCATAAAGATGTACGCAAATACAATAACAAAAGTAAAACCTTTCTTACACCGTCACCATATTCATCGCTACCATATTTTTATTAAGGCTCAGGCTCCTCAGGCTTCAATTACTATGTTCTTCATGCTTTATTTGTCTTATTCTTTTAAACTAAAGTATTAATGTTATCACTTTAAATATTTATTCTATATCTTTTGGATTGATAAAACAGATAATACTGTAATATACTGAAACCTCATAAACTATTAATTTATTCTTACATTGACAACTACGAAAATTTTCAAAAAATAGAATTAATTACATAATCATGGTATTCATAAAAAAAAATGACAATAGAAATCGAAGACCCTCAAAATAACAAAATTAACTATATTTCTTTGAATTACGAAAAAACTTTTTAAAGAAATGAAAACATCTATTTTTGCTGGTAGGGGGCTAAAAGCGGAGCAATGACGGCAGTCCATTTGACACTGTTGTAATTTGTTTTCATTTTGCAATGTCCACTTTGGAGGAAGGATTCTTATAAGAAAATTTGCCAATCGATAAGTCTAGACGTTCTTCACGAATATTATTGGAAAATTATTATATATTGGGGAAACTGATATAGTTTAAGGTTTTGTACAAGTCTTATCAAAGCATCTATTTTGATCTTAAGTATATGGGTAAATTGGTACTATAAAATATCTATCTACCATATTATGGAGTTTTTGTAGGTTTAGACGGTGCTCTCACTGACGAATAAATAAAAGCAATGTATTCGAGATGTGTACAGTTCAGATAACATGTAATTCTGGAAAAAGATTCCCGCAGGATAAGGAATTTAAATTTAATAAATTATTATTTAGGTGTTATATAAATGGTGTAGTGAGAACTGACCTAAACGATTAATTGCTAGCTGCTTTGAAAGCGAAAAACGTACAAAAATATAAACGAATGGTGTGATCTTTCAAGTTTAAAACCAAATTCTTGTTTTACAGCGGAACCAGTTACACGTGGATCGTGAAGGCGACTTCAACATATGATTTTAATTATTGCTCAAGTTGTGTGGGAGTCCCAATTTAATTTTCTCGGGCAGTTCACGATGCATGTTAACAAATGCATTCACTTACTAAATACAAAATGTCGAAAACAACTTGACCTTTGAAGCTTAAATTTGGCACGTTGGTACTTTACAGGTAGAAGGCTTTTAAAGATTATATGAAAGTGCCATTTTGTTGCTGCTAGAGACATAAAGATAAGTTATTCGGGTAACACATAAATCAACTGCAACTGTAGGTGAAGCCGCGGGCAACGCTAGTTTAATTAAATTATATTATCTGTACATTTTACTAGTAAATAATAAATACTATGTTATTAAAATTGGTCAGACTGCTCGAGGGCTTACAACATGCCTGTCGACGGCTATCGATTGATTACAGATACGAGCGCTTTTAATTGAACAAAAAAATAATCATGCCATATACCTAGATATTATGCAAAATTATCACCCATACAGTGCGCGACTTTGACTTACGTAACACAATATTGTTATTAAAAATAATAATCCATACTTATTAAATTAATATTATAAATGCAAAAATAACTCTGACTGTCTGTATATTAAGTTTTCACATCTAAACCGCTAAACCAATTTTGATAAATTTTGGTATATAGATGAGATTTTAGAGAAGTACACTTATTTAGATTTAGAATATTATAAATGCACAAGACATCCAGAGGGGCCGATTCAAGCGACTAGTTACTTATACAATAAATTAATATACATCAAACCCGATCGACTATCTTATATCTACCTATATAAATAAAAATGAATGTTGCTAAGCGCAAAACTCGACAACGGCTTGACCAATTCAGCAATATTTTTTTTCGTATGTTCCTTAAGTTACACGGAAAGTTTTAATAAAGAGAACAAATATAAAATAAGGTAAATATATAAAACAAAGTCGTGTTAGTTATACCATTTATAGCTCAAGAACGGCTGGACCAATTTTTATGATATTTGATTTTTGGATTTCTTTTAATCCGGAATAGAATAATAAGTATTAAAACATCAGAAAAATTAAGGGAAAAAAAAATTAAAATTTATATTGCTAACACTGGCTAATAATTATTTATATCTGTTTATAACGTACATAATATTATTTTCATATCACCTATATTATTATTTTCATATTACCAGAGCACGTGGAGAGTCAGTTAAGTATCTATTTCTGTAGCTATTTGCCTTCAATAAATGCCATAAAACTGATTAGGAACAGACGCACTATCGTATATGATTAACAGCATGCGACCAATAACTTGTGCGCACAAACAGCTATAAATGACGGCATAATGAGACTATGTGAAAATTTTATGGGAAAAATTTTATGTTCGCATGTCTGTCTAAGGCATGACAACTCGTGGTATTACGTATTTTTTATGCTGAGAAACTCGCGGCATAGATTCGTTTTCAGAACGTCAGCTGCTAGTAGGAAAATATAGAGGTCGAAGAAAGGGGTCACGATGATCTCTCTGCCGACTCTATAAAGCTATAGAAATAGTGTGTATGTTCTATGACCTACGAGTATATGCTAATAAATAAAAATGTTGAGCGATGTCGAGTTGTTTTTTTTTGTTTTTGACTCTAAAACTTTAGATCCCAGAGCTGGACTGGTAGACTTAGAGTCTTGGACTTGGGAAAAACCTATGGAATTAATCTGGACAGTCCACCACGCTGACTAAATGCGTGTTGATAGTCGTTACAAATCTTACAAGAACTAAATTCCTCTGTTTAGATTTTCTCAGAAGACATGCACATTTCCGCACAATATTTTCTTGATCGTAAAACTGTTTGACCGCAAAAACGAAAGTAGATCTATATTTCGATAAAAATTATAGCTATTTAAGTAAATGATTCTCTATTTCAATGAAACGTATCTTTAGAATGGGCTAGATAAAATGTTGTAAATATATAATGATAATATGTAAGGATATTACATCCTTACACATTTATTAGAGGTCATATTTACTTTGCTTATAAAAGAACTTGACGTTATGATAATATAGAAAAAAATATTTTACTAAACTTCTAACTCATAGCCTTCATAAAATTTCTTTGGAAAATTTTCCTATATATTATATATGTATTTATGTATGTATTTATGTATGTATGTATGTATGGACGAAATATTCGCATACATGATTCATCAATAAAAGTAACAGCGCTCGTCGATCAACCAAACAAATTCGTTCGTGGGGGCCGCTCCGTGTCAACAAGGAAAAATTGCCGCGGGTTCATATGTCAAACGTTTAAAACGATACGTCGTATAGAAGCGGATTGAACTAGTGACGACGGTACGTGTAACGTGAAGTATTGAATAGTATCCATGGCCTAGCGATCGTAGCCTAAGAGTATAATAGATAAATATTTTTATTTTATATAGGTATGTATATATTTATGTTTGTCTGTATATATATTCATTTGTAAGTCTCTTTAAGATTGTTTGCATCCCTTCCATCTCTCTTTCTTTCCCTCGCCCAAAGGTTGCTTGGAAGAGATCGTTCGTTCTCTAGCGATAAGGCCGCCTATTGTACCTACTACTATTACATATTTGTATTTACTATGTAATACTATCTAAGATTTACGCGAATATTTGACATTTTAAATAAATTTTATATTGATTTTTGGTTTGTTTGACGACAGAGAGAGACTCTCCCGTGACCACGATTGCTGTTAAGCATTCAAAACATCGGGAAGCAAAAATCAAAATAAATCCGTGAAAAAAACCGAAAAGATAGTTTTACTGTGTTAAATAATGGTATGCGATAAAGTATATTTTTTTGATGTCAATATATAAAAATTCTTCTTGAAAGCTTCTAAATCAGTATATCTATCTTAAGATTTAGAATCTTATAAACTAAATAAATTAAATTATTTTTTACTGAAATTGTAATTTATGTGGACCATTAGCGACATTGCGACATAAGCTTTGATAGGTAAGTAAAATGAATGGTATTCTTTTTTTTTATTAGAAATGTGCTCACTCTTGACCTTCATCTTAGCTCGAAGGCACAAATAAGGTCTACGATCTAGCGAGTTTGCCCAGGAGAAGCCTGTTAACACGCACCTTAAATAGATTCAGGTTATAATAAATAATAAATCTAGTAGGTATATCCATACTAATTTATAATCTATGTGAAAGTTTGTGAGGATGGATGGAGGGGTGGATGGATGGATGTTTGTTACTCATTCACACCAGAACGGCTGAACGGAACGGATCTGGATGAAATTTGGCACAGAGATATATTAAGTATAGTCTGGAAAAGTTTAGGAACCGTATATTTTTTCGAGGTATATAGTAACCTATGTTACTTTTTATCTCGGAAAAATGTACGGTTCCTGTGGGATAGATTTGTTTCTGTCTAGGGACGAACCCGAAGCGAAGCGACGGTGAGTCGCTAATTCTAAATATCGGACCAAAATAGACTACACACTAATGAAAAGGACATTCAATATACATAATATTTATTATTTACTCAATCCATATATTTTATTCAAATAGACTGTTATAAATAAACACTTTATATCTAAATTATATCTTTATCTTCATAATATATAAAGTTACTTGAATATATAATTGCTCAGACATTTACCCTGCCCAGGCTCACAGCTTAGAGATTTCCCCTGGACCAAAAGTGCTGATGATACAAGGGCAAAGGGCAGAGAGAAGAAAATAGAATATAGGAATATTGGGAATACTGACATGTTAACACTAAAATTAGATTTTTTTGTCTTTAGGAAGACGGTAAAATTTGTTTGGAAAATCATACAGATGTATATACTCGTACTTATGTAAAGTATGTAAAAATAACATGTAATCGAACAAAACCGGAATGAGTCGCTAGTTGTATCTACTACGTGGAAAACCCTGTATTTGATTCTCGAGTACATATCTATGTATTTTATGATTTGCTGTGTTTATTATTGTAGTGCCTACTGTACATAAACTTCTCCTTGAAACAATAGAGTGGGTGTCTTCATTTACATTCCCTTGATGTGATATCTTCTCTGGGTGGTGGTTACCACCACCGCTTCATGTCCCATTTGAAGCGAAGTAAAGGATATAGTTATTAAAATATATTGCATATTATATTCAATTAAAGTAAGGAGGATGAGTTTTTTATGAAAACATCCACGGTCGTATATTTTTATGAGCTACGGACAGATGGTCATAAAATATGTATATAATTATGCTTATTTTTTATAAGAAATAACTTCAAACGATATCAACAGATTTAATGTGTGAATTCTTTGATATCTTGAGATAGAAATGCTGCGCACTCGCATACCCCGACTTCGTTTTAATTCCTTTATCAATAGATGCCTCTACAGCGCAAATATATTTACTTCTATTATAACGCGAATTCATACGCGGGTCTCAGAGCATTGAGAGTGATGTATCATCATTCTCAACATGGTTACCAGTTGTCTTAGGGTGAAGGAAAACATCGTGAGAAAACCTAATATGTACGTGTAAAAGATAACTAGTTTTCGAAAAGATATGCGAAGTTCGTCAAGCCGCATTTTGCGACCGGTCACAGTAGAAGCTTCATAAGTCATAAACAATGGAAAAAGTTCTTTAATTGTTTTTTGTTTGTTATTTGGGTTGGATGCTATGACACTTTAATGTTATTTATACAGATAATAAAAGTGCAACTGATCGCTGTCTGTACATGGAAAATATTTGGGAAAATTATTGTTGAGGATCTTTATTAACGCAATAGAACCCAAAACATTGATTTTTAGAATTTTTGTCTGTTCGTCTGTGCGTTTGTGCGCGCTAATTTGGATTAATAGATTTGGGTGCGGTTTTCACTAATGTATGTGGTAAGCTTTACTTAAAATTTACTCGTAGTGGGTATATGTTTTATTTCAATCGGTTCATAAATAAAAAAGTTATTTCAATTTAAATAATCATCTAAGGATGAACGCGAGCGAAGCGAAGGTGAGTCCATTAAAAATATAGATCCAAAGTATCGGACGACAAAGTAGAATCTGCCTCTAAATCTGAGAGGTTTAATGTATAGAAAACACAAACCTCTGAGATTGATACAATTTATAAACATAACGTAAATTAACATAATCATAACGTAAATTGATTTTTTTAGGATTTTCGTTATATTTGGTCGTATACAAAAGATGTGATACAGACAATATTCATCTTTACAAGTACGAAGAAAGAACTTGGTCGCTATCATATTTGTATAGCTAAACTGGACGTGTGTGACCGAGGTAAACATTTTGTCCATCGACCTTATGACCTTCCAGCTTAAACAAATATTTTTTGGAAAAGTTTGTTGAGGTGGAGTTTTAGGATATAATAGAAATATAGACTAGAGTCATGTTATTAAAACTAAAATCTATAACAGCGAATGTTTTTTTCATTATATTCTTTGGAACTCTTCGAATTTCTTGTAAGTAATAAAAAGTATGAAATTATAATTTAAAAAAAAATCAGTATAGAATTTAAAAGAGAGTATTGCACTTGTTTTTTTCAAGAGAACTGCATTCTGATCGGGTAAAAGTTGAAAATTTCATCTTGGAATTTTGGTATAGGTATATATGGATTCACCTCTGCGATATAACCTATTCATTAAAGATAACAAGGCATAATTGTATTTTTTTGATACAAATCGTACAAACTAAAACTTTTAAGTCGGTCGATAAAGCATATTCTGATAGCACAACACACCTGAGGATCAGACTTCACTCTAACAGTGAACTGGTCACCGAACCCCGCGCCCCCGCACACGAAGCACACCCTCTCCTCCCCGGGCGGGTCGCGGGGTGCGGGCGAGTCCGGCGCCTTGCCCGCCACCGCCGCATTGGTGCCCGTGCCCGATGCGTTTAACGAGCTTTTTATATACGCCTTCGCCTTTTCCATTGCGAAACTGCAACAACAGAAGATGATTATTAGATAATACTTCTTTAACTATGTAACGTCTATTTCGAAAGCTCTACAGCAGTCTAGCTATCAATGGGCACAATTCACGATGAATCCGCGATAAAATAATAAAAAATATGTAGCCATCTATAAATAAGGCCTAAAGACATAAATTAGTAATAATTACAGTAAAAATATATCTGAATCAGAATAAAAAGTAGCTTTTAGCTTTTAGCCTTTTGGGTTAGTGTGTGAACCAATTAGCTTATATATTATTATTATGGAATCAGTAATTCCGAAGTTTTTCTTTCTCAAACAAACTTACAAAGTTTACGTCACTATAGGTACACTATACTGTTTGTATTGGTTGTATTGGTTTTTATTTTGCGACATCGTGGTTAGTTTAAGACATAGATTATTTATTTATTATTCTTCATATCTTGGTTAGGTTATGTTAGAACAGCTACCACAACGCACGAGCCGAGCGAGCGAAGCGAGCGAGCCGCGGCAGCGGCCGGCGAGTGCCATTATTATATGACTAGAAAACTAGAAAATTCAAATTTCACGCAAAGTATAATTAAAAACACGACAAAACATAATCTGGAGATCATTTTGACAATTGAAAGTGACATTTTGATATTTCCAAGTGTCTAAATAATTTATGGAAATGTTGTAAATTTAAGTCTTAATAACTTTTGACTCTTTTGTTTCCTCAAAATAATTTTTATATATTTGGACTCTCTATCACCTCCCCTATCCAAAAATACTACCCACTCCTCCAGGGGCCGCGTCCCATATACTAAACTGCAGCCCTGTTATGTTTCGCTAAATATATAAATACTAGCGACTCACCCTCGTTTCGTTCGGGTTCGTCTCTAAAGTCTGATTTTTAATTCAACGGAATTCTGACATTTTAGAAGTGTTGTCAACTTTGAAACATTGTCACTAAAAACGGAAAGCATTTTAGCAAAATAAAAAAATAAACCTTTCTTGAATTTAAGGTTTCAATTAAAAAACTAAGACTTAAAAATATATTGATAACTGTAAAATGGTAATTATTATTTTTATTATCATATTATTGAAGTTACAATAATTATTAAGGAATTATTTTTCTATTACAGGAATCCGTATGCAATAATCAATAGGTGGCAAGCCTTTTTTAGGAAAACCCCTTTGTTCGCAAAAATAAAAAATTAAAATGTGCCCTCTTAATGATCTGATGGATAGTGCGTGATTCTTTTATAATCCGAGTGGGTGGTGATGACGATAATGATGATATAAATGATAATGATTAATAAATATTTTCATTTAAGAATTTTTTATTTTATATTAAAAAAAATCAAAGAAGAAAAGGTTTATGATATCTGAATTGTCAAAGATTGACTGCTGTCATATTTCCGTGGAATTAAAAATGAAATTATAGGTACGTTTTGACAGTTAGTATTAAATAGATAGACTATATATTATATGATATATTATAGCCTATAGTCTTTCTCGATAAACGGGCAATCTTATGTAAAAACAAATTGGATTAGTAGTTCCTGAGATTATCGCGTTCAAACAAACAAAAAAAACTCTCACCTCTTTATAATATTAGAAGTAAGGTACGTATAATTCATAGAGCACTTCCAGATAAGTGACAGTATTTTTGAAGCTTATAGCACAAGAGCTGAATAGAATATTTAAAAATTATAATGTCTGTCTGAGAAGATGTACGGATGCGACTTGTTGCCTCTGATGCGACTTGTTGCCTCTGATATTTATGGTATTATCATCTGAAGCAACAAAAGAATCGATGATGCAATAGCTATTGACATGTCAAACCATACGCGTGTTTATGTTTTATGCAATGTGACGTTTATGGTAGTTTTTTGATTAAGTCTTACGATTTTGTCTGGCTGGTGCCTGGTGCTGCATTTTTTGTTATTGTAAGAAGATATACGCATAGAACAATAAAACAAACTATACAGCTGATAAAAGAAAGATTTAATCACATGAGCACAAGCAGCATTCATTTCTATAGATGAGGTGATTTCAATTTCAGCAAGGTAAAAATTTTCCAGTCCGTCAGTTTCAGTCACTCATGACCATAACAAATATATGTTATAGCTGATAGCTGATGCAGCAGCCAATTCTGATGGTGAGTTTTGATGTAAATTCCCAGAATACTGATTTGATTTTAAGCATCCTTTCATCAATAAAAACTTTTAGTACTCCTGAGAATTGATGAGTCAAGAGTTTCCTGCAGGATATTACTATGTTGCAAAAAGTTACATAAGGACGCGCTGTAACTAGGGTCGAGTAGAGCTTAGTGAAGCGAAGGCGGATCTCGCTTATTCATAAAGTAGCGTAAACCAGTAGACGATAGTATAAACATAATACCATAACAATATTTTTGAATTGTATACTACTTTTGGCACGTTTGGAAAAAATTATGAGAGTAAAATTTTTACAATGCGCGCGCACACCGACAGCCAAAGAGCGACATGATGAAGTTAGCGTTATTCCTTTTACAAACAGAGACATACGAGATGAAATCTTTAGATATTTTTGTTCTGTTACGCCAAAGAAATTAACTTCTTACGTGCGTACATAAGTACACATACACGTTATTTTTATACTTAACATACTACCAATATAGTTCATTCACATTTAATTTAAAGAATACAGCATTGCAGTACACTTTTATATCGCATAAAGTGATCACTTGAGACACACTCGAATAGACTTCGAAAAGGCTTTTGATACAAACGTAGATAGCTCGAGCGCAGTGTTTACTAGGTTTATTTAAAATTTATTACCCCCAGCCCTAAACGGTTGGTTATCAGTGGAACAGCAGTAATTAATACTGATAGTGTATCGGAGTATCGCCGAGGGTGGGCGCGGTTCCGAATTAGTTGATCGACCAACTGATTGTGCGGTAGGATTTCTGTTCCAACTACTTACACAAATAATACGTCGTTATAAGCTGGAGTATCAAAAGTTATTATATACACATGATAAGTAAGTATACATAGATAAGTTTAAAAAACCTATCATCAAATTCATTCAGCAAATTCTTACTAATATTTTAAATCTATACCTACATATAATGAAATTCTAATTGAGTCGAATCTGTACATTAAATTTTTTTTCGTAGATCCTATTGAAATCGTCATTATTATCGAAACAGAGGCCGAATCTGTAGTTTTTAGAATTTTTGTCTGTCTGTCTATCTGGGAACGCATCACGAGAAAACCACTGGACAGATTTTAATGAAATTTGATATGATGATAGCTGGTTATCCGGGTCAACCTATAGGATACTTTTTACTGGGGGAAAATACCTATTTCATCTCTAAGAAATCTATACTAAACGTATATGTGTTTGTGTATGCTTTCAGTTACTTGTTTTTCTCCATCAGTGAAGAATAAAATGCTACTTTCAATCACAATATTGATTTCCCGAAAAAAAAACTGTTATCATATGATATAATGTATATGAAGATTATATATATTTTTTTTAATTTAAATTGATAATAGGTAAACAATTTAAAAATGCAGTTGAATTGAGCTAAGTGTAGAGACAGTTTTGGTATTTTAATTAGAATACTTGAAATGAACAATGCAGGACAAACACTATGAATAAAGCGCTAGTTGCGCAAATCTATTTAACACCACAAAAGCTCACATTATCTCATCGAAAAATATTCTTTTCACATATAAGCTCTCTAAATCTAAAAGCTTCTCGAAACTACTTTCAAACACATCTTAAATTTATCAAAGCATCATGACTAAGCTATAATAAGAAATCTTTCAAAGCTAATAATAAGAATATTTAAGCTATAATAAGAAGGTTTCTCACAGCAATCATTTAAAACTCTTCAATGAAAGTCCTTTCAAAATTAATTTACGACCTTAATGTACTACTGACGATACTAAACGGTTTCCGAGTATAAAGTAATAACTAATATGAAAAATCTATACTTATAACGTATAAGTAAAACTGAAGTGTCTGTCTGTATATTAATATAAACTACCCCAAATAAAGTTATAGCTCAGACGTAATAAAAACGTATTACTATTTTTAATATTCGCTGTTTAAAAAAACTTTTTATGGACTTTTACTGAGTGTTAGAGGATACCAATGAGAATGACGTAGTCTATTTTATCTTCAACACGCAAGATTAGATCCGGGCGCGAGCTTTTCTTTGTGCATACATTATAACTAAGTATAATATTACTTAGAATTAACAAAACAGTAAAATTTAAAATATTTAATATCAATATGAAGCCAACCCCTACAAAGCAACACGTGCAATAACGTCGGGCATTCGAGCGTGGTGAATGTTAGCTACAAAGTACATAGATATTAGATGTAAGATAATGCTAATGGGACGGCTAACACGCCTTTTTGTTATAGGCCAAGAGTGTCATGCGAGGCATTAACATTTGATGCCTCGACGTTATATTAGTTAATTGAATGCTTGAATTCTTTTTGCATAATATAATGTCGCCATTTTTGGATATAACTTTTTAATTCACTAAACGTCTTGTAACTGTCTCGTCGCGATAAACACGTTATAAATAAAGAAAGAGTATATCTATGGAGTAAGGACGTGTAGAATGTGAATAATATAGAAAATAATATAAAAAAGAAATAGACAAGGCAAACTTTCGTATCCATTGTAATGGTAACGTTTTTATATAATTTAATAATCATAAAAAATATACTTTTATGATCAATGAATCTTTTTATTTTTTCATAAAAAGATAGAATAATCATAAAAGTATATTTTTATGATTATTTTATCTTTTCATGAAGCTATAGAGTTAAACGTCTTTTTGGCATCGTTTTTGTATTGAAGAATGACGTAGTTTACTGTTTTTTCCCGCATAGTAATTTCCCATGAGACATTCGCAAATACACAAAATTACTACAATAAGCCACAAATATACAAACATAGTAATAGAGGATGAAAATGCTTTATTGCAATCAGCGTTCCTAAATGATAACACATC